TTATTTTTATATATATTTTATTTTTATTTATTTATTTTTTTTAATTTTAATTTATTTTTTTATTTTTTTTTATTTTTATATTATTTATTTTTATATTTATTTCTTTTTATATTTATTTATTTTTTATTATTTATAAATTCTTTTTTATATTTATTTATTTTTTTTAAATTTATTTATTTTTTTTATATTCTTTTTAAATATTGATTTATATTTTTTATATTTTTGTTTTTATATTTTTTTTTAAAATATTTTTATTTCTTTTTTTTTCTTGTTTTGTTCTTTTTGTTTTATTTTGGTTTTTTTTGTCTTAAGTAACTCTTTATTATTTGAATAAATTACTTTATTTAATGACAGTTAATGAGATTAAAGTTTAATTATTTTACTTAACCTTCTATAGATGTCGGTATGTATGAAATCTGCTTTATATTAGTCATCAGTTTTAGCAAATTACGATTAGTATTTGTTCTAGTACAAATTTATATTAAGGATTATGGTCATTTGTGAAAAGATCTGAACTATTTATGCTTATGGATGGTTCTATGGGTGTGTGCTTAAGTGCTCAATTGTGCGTGAAGTGCGTTAGCAAGCCCAGCCACTCAGTATGTGTGCCTGAAACCGAAGTATTTCATTATTTATTCAGAAAATTTTAACCATGAGGATTTAATTGAGCATTAAATGCACCTGTGCTCACATTTGACATATTTGTGAATATATACGATTGTCTCTTATGGATAAACAAATATGATGTGCACACATACGACTATTTGTGTGGTAGGAATATTTTTGTCGGTTATATATTCGTCTATTGCATAGATACAAATGTATCTGTAAAGTTGAAAGAAAGAGATTGTTGGGCGCTTATGCTGCCCTATAATTTCATTATATAATAATAAAAAAAAAAACAATTTTGTATTAAAATTGAACAATAACAATTGAGAAGAGATAATTTACTAAAATTATTATTAAAAAATTTCTTGAAAATCATAAAGAAAATGTTTTATTTCGGTTTTTCTCAGAAGTGCAACTTTAATTTGAAAACGTCTTTTCAAAATAAATTTATTGGAAATTATTATTTAATTTATCTACACAATTATGAGATATTTTATTGATTTGGTTTCATAAAGGCTTTCAAAATTTTCATTCTTTACTCAAATTCGAATTGTTGCTGTTGTTGTTGTTGAGTATCTTAGTGTGTATGTTTGTATCTTTTGGGTGTACAATTTCCATTTTCTGTAGTCAAGTATTTTATGCAAATTTTATTTACTGAAATGGCTCGATTAAATCTGAAAAAGAAAAAAAAAACAAAAAACTGAATTGTTTGTATGTTAAAAGGCAAAGCAATTTGAAAATATTGTGCTTAGAAACTTTGTCATTTCTTCGAGAAAATTATTTTATATTTTGTGGATTTTGCATATTAAATACGAGAATCAAGGTTAGAAAAAATTATAATTTCAAGGCACTCACTCGAATGGCTTTAATTTGCATAAGCTCTTTCATCAGAATTTGTTGAAAAGAAAGAAAACTAATTTGATTTTATAGCTTTTAATTTACTTCTTGTTTTAAGTTTACACATTTTAAATTTAAATAAAATCAATAAAATAAAAATAAATGAATTTGTGAAAATGGTTAGAAAACATGTCATGCTCTTATTATCTTAAATAAGTACAAGATATATTTTTAAACGTATGATGACATAAAATGATTGTATATAACATAAACACATCTATTCCTCTTTGATACTTTCTAAAGTTCCTCAATTATTTTTTATACTGGAGTAACATCATGATTGATTCCGTCTCTCCCAATGGAATAAAAAGCCAATATGTTTCAATTACTGGTAAATTTCCATTCTGTGCATAAACTTCAAACCTCCTTGGATTTACTGTCAAGTGGTGGGGGGAAATGCCAAATGATAACTTGGAAATTTGCAATTCAATTGGTTTCGATTTAATATTTATCATTAAAGTATTATTTTTTGGTTAATAGGTTAGTTGTAAATATCTGTAGGCATCCTCATATAGTCCAGCAATAATCACAGCATTATCTTCCTAGTAGTTTTCTTCACAGTTTCTGTTAGACTGCTATGATGCTTTGCTGGGTGTTTATTCACACAGGAATCAATGAGTCTGCGGACAATCTTGTGAGGACAGGATCTGCCATTCAACTCTGTGAACTGGAGCCATATTGTGGATTTAGTTGGTTACAACTAGGTCTTTGATTGACATGTTGACATTTCAGTTAACCGTCAGGCTAAAAAGCTGGTTCGTCGCTACAGTAACGGTAAGGTAACCTTACCGAGACTTTCATTCACATTCTCTGCGACTGTCCAGCCTTGATGTAAGCCAGGAGGAGAAGGTCACCAAGACGAAAATTATTTACCTCTTCTGACACTAGAAGGTCCTCAACGGCGGACATTTTGGCTTTCATTCGAAGGGCGGAATGTCTTCTGTTCGGTTAGAGTCTGTAAAGATCAACTATGGTCGCGATGCTCTACTTCGTTAGAAGCTGAGGAGAAGTTAAAAGTTTAAATCAATTTTTGGAAATCAAGTGTACACATTGAATACGGTTATATATTACAGATGTGCGCTATGTTTTTGCCCAGTCTTGCCTGGTCTGGGCAGTGTAGTGTTGGAATTTGAGCCTATTTTTGGCTTGAATGTTAACTTACTGTAATTAATTCAGCAAATATTGAAGTCTATGATGATTTGGTTATCGGATTGCAATGACTTACACTCTATAAGTTTAGATTTTCTACCAACGATTTGTGTGAAATTATTTGTGACAACAAGGATACTAGTAAGGACAACAAGAATTGCGCTGGCATTTTAAAAAGTTTAATGCAATCAGACACGTTGTTTTGTGTACTCCATCTGAAAGCTCGCGTGGTTACCCCTTTGAGAAAAATCCGAAGGAATAAGAAACCATCGGAGATGCTTCCTATAACATACAGTAGTATGCATATAAATTATTATGCAGTAGTATAAAGTGGTTTGGAGCTATTCAAATAATCTTTATATTTTTTTAACTAAAAGCAAAAATGAAGACAATGCCTTAATATCTCTGCCTTCACTTTATTCGATTTCAATTGAAATTCTCTCTCCTCTTCCACTACACTTATCCACATCTCAACCTATATGTATATGGCTTTGTAATTCCTTTCATGTAATCTACTTGATCGATATCTACGGGCTACAACAACAACAACAACACCACCACCACCACCAACAACTATCTCTTAATCAAATTAATTTAATATCGTCCCCTTTACTTCAACTAAAATTTTTATTGGTATATTATCGAATATATTTTATTTACTGCCGCCCTGATTTTCCAGCCTTAAATTGATTACATTTTAAAGAAAATAAAATTGTTGGAAAATAATAAAAATGTATCTCATTCTGTCACAGAATCTTAAATGTAATTTTTCTGCTAAATTTGCAAATTGAACAAATGTTCAATGTTTTATTTTTATGGAAAACAGATGTTTTTAAATTAATTAAATGTTTTTATTTATTTCTTTAGTATTTAGTCTGGATGAGTATTTGCTTTGATACTAATTTTTTTTCCTTGCTCTTATTACCATTTCAGATTCAGATACTTTGAGAAGAGAAATTCGGATTATTGCTGATGTAAACACTTGAAAAACTGCGACATTATTTCGTTTTGTGCGGAAAAGGAAGTTGACTTCGAGCGGAAACAAAAAGAAGTCAAGATAAAAAAAAAAACGGTATAAAAAGCACAAAGAAAATATAAAACATACACAGCAAGAAGTAAAAAAATAAATGCACAAGAAAAAAAAGAAATTGTCGAAAGAAAAATAATGTTTGACTGAGTTAAGCTGAAAGTGTAAAAGAAAAGCGGAATTGAATTAAAGGGAAACAAAACAAAACAAAAAATAAAACAAAAAAAAATAAAATTTAGAAGCAACATAAAACTCAGCAAAAAAAAAAAAAATACGAAGAAATGTGAATAAATTTCTTCCATACTTTATACGCTTGAATAATTTAATCAAAAATTTTGAAGTGTAAGTGTAAAATGTGCATAAAATAATAAAATTGTGCATAAAATATTTAAAATTAAACTTAAAAACAAAAAGAATATATCTATATATATATATATATAATATATAAAGCAACGAAACGCCTAAAAACATACCTCATAATTCAAGCTATATGTGCACATTCACAACCTGTTAAAACCTAAAAAATTAAAAAAGTAATTGAAATTATAAAAATTACGTGTTTTAAATTATTAAAAGTAAATTAAATAATAATTAGTGAATACCAAAAAAAAAAATTAAATATAAACAAAACAACTAAACAATTAAACGCCTAAAAATATACTACAGAATTTAAAGTTTTTAATAAAAATGTGTGAATTAAAATTGTAAAAGTTTTTACACAAGCTGCAGGCGTTTGAAATACAATATATTTAAATTTATACACTCCGTCTATCTTTCTCTTGGCATAAAAGTGTTGTCTTTTATTCACGTTATTGCTACGCCTAGAAATATGCCTTAAGTAAGGCATATACCACATAAAAAACTTATCTCAGAAACTATTTACAAAATGGCTACTGTGAGCAATGATAATCCTGGTGATTGTCAGTCAGTAGCAGCAGACTCAACTACAGCAACACCATCAAATGTTGGTGCTACGAATGCAGGCAATAACAATAATAATAACAATGCTGTCGTTACCACAATAGATGTAGATGGTGCTGGCATGCATGAGGAAATGTCAGAGCAGGAACAAGTTAGTTCAAGCACTAACAATGCAACTACACCGACAGCAAATAAACATGGAATACCAGGTTCACCACCTAATAGCAATGCTAAAGCAAAAATTCAACAACAGCAACAGCAGCAACAACAACAACACTATCAATTCCGTGCGCCACAACAATTTGTTAGGCAGAAGAAACCCACAAGCACTCTGGCCAAAAAGAATAAAACCTGGAATAAACGACAAAATAAAACCGCAAAACAACTACAGCAACAGCAACAACAACAACAACAACAATGCAATGCCGGTAATGGCATAAATGCTGTTGGCAACACTGTTGGTGGTATTGGGACTGGTGGTATTGCATGCAATGCTGCCAATGTCAGCATATTAAATAATGCTAACAATAAAGCTGATTTGGAGAATCATTATTATCATCAACATTATGGACGTAATGCCGGTAACAATGGTAGTGGTGGTAACGGCAACGGTGGTGTTGGTAGTTTAAATAGCAATGGCAATACTGTCGAAGGTCGTGGCATTGTTGGCAACGGTGCGCCACCTACATCGCTAACTGGTTTAGAAAAATTAGGTTATGGTCATGGTCATATAAAGCAACAGTCGGTCTATAAAAAACTTATTGTTTATAGGTGAGTACAACGAAAATAGCGTAATGCTCAATGTCAACATATATAAAACTATAAAAAACAAAAATAAAAAAAAATTTCTATTAATTTTTTTTTAAATTTGTTAAATATTTCTATTTATTTATCATATCGTTTCTTTGTAGGAATCATCATCATCATGTGCTGTGTGCTGGTTCGGTGCATAACCCACTGGGTGGTGGCGGTGTTGTCAACCACAATTGCCAAGTGAATGGCTGTGGTGCTGTACAAAATGGAGGAAAAGATGGCGCCAGTGTTGGCAATAATGCCAATTCGGTAAACTCAACAAACGCCCTGCACTATTGTTGTGGACGTTCGAAGTTCTTTTTACCAGACAAGCGTCCACGCAAAGAAATCATTATACCGCCCACAAAATTTTTGCTTGGTGGCAATATATCAGATCCGCTTAATTTAAATTCATTACAAAATGAAACATCCAATGCTTCCTCAAATAATAATACGCCGGCGACAACACCACGCCGTTCACCCATAACCACTCCACCAAAAGTGGAAGTAATTATACCGCCTAACATACATGACCCTTTGCATTTGTTGGATCCGGTTGACTCTATGGAATATGAAAAACAACTAACATCACCGATGAAACGTTGTGGCGGTGGCGGCGGTGGTTTGCGCGGCATACACAAGCCACATAAACATCGTCACCGTAAGAATCGGAAGCCAAAGCGGCGCCGTCATGAATCATATAATTCGACATCAAATGCCAACACCGAAATGGATGACACGTGCTCACTTGGCAACGGCACAATGTCGACTGATACATCGTCTGCCGCGCTTTCAATTTCATTAGACTTGGATAGCACTAATAAAAGCTTAAACAACATAACAACAACAACAGCTGCTGTTGTTGTTGACTCATTAACGGGTGAAGAGCGCACTGAGCAGGTTATTTCACCTGCGCTCTCTGCAACCACTGATGAAAATGCTGCGGAACGAAACAGTAGTTTATTGCGCTCACCACAGAAAGTTGAAAGTTTTGTTGTGTCTGCACAGCAACATGTTGCTAGCAACAATACCACTGCAGTGAATATTTGCGCGGGAGAATTAAATGTTTCTGATAGCTTGTTACGCGAGCGCCCAAATAGAGATTTACGTTTGAATTTAAGTTCAATATTGAATAGCACGTGCAGTACTTTAAGCGGTGGTAGTGTTGGTGGTAATGCTTGCGCCATTGGTGTGGGCAATGGAGGCGGAAGAAAACGCAAGATAAGCGAGAGCAATAACTCGCAAAAAAATAAGGTACGTATATAAGAGTGTGTGTATTTTGTTTAAATGTGTGAGTGTGTATATGTATGTATGTTGAGAAGTATAATTGTAAGACGAATGAGGTCAAATTTGTTAATTTTTTTTAATGCTTTTGATGCTTTATTTTATTTGTTTTGTTTTGCTTTGGTGCTTTGTTTTGTCTGTGATTTGTTGTTTTATTTTACAGGGTATGTTAGTTTCGATGGTGTAATTTAATAAGTGTTTTATATATTTTTTATTTTGATTTATAATTAGTTAGTAATTAATTAATTAATATCATTGAGAATTAATTAGTAATTATTCATTAAAAGTTCAATAAAAAAGTAAATTAAAAATATTTATTAAATGATGAATTGTTAAATATATCAATTAATTAATTAATTGTAATTAATTATTGATGTTATAAATTCATCAGTGATATTTATAAATTAATTACTAATGTTTATAAATTAATTAGTATTTTTTATAAATTAATTATTGATATTTATTAATTAATTATTGATATAAATTAATTGTTATTTAATATACATTAATTTATTACCAAATATTAATTAATATTTATTAATTAATCATTAATTTTATTTTTTATTTTATTTATATTTTATTTACACATATCAATATGAATCATATGGACTTATAGCTTCATCCCATTGTGTGCCACCTTTTCTCATCTTGTTCCTGGCTATTTCTCATTAATCCACACCCACACTTCTCTTGCTCATTCTATATACTGGTAGTAGCTTTCTTAGGACACCTCATATCCCCATCATTTGTATTTGTATCCTTTAAATAGATATTCTTATTAACTTGCACTTATCGCACTACATCATGCAATCGTCTCCTTAATACTAATGTTTCTATTAACCACCAATTCATAGCCCATGCCACGTCATGTGTTTACGTGAGAGCATTGTTATCGTGATGCTCTCATTAACCTCATCCTTACAGCCCATAATACGCCAGTTATTTGAGTGGTTAATACTATTACTCACAGTTATCTCTTTTTTTATATCTCATACCACGTCATCTGTTTGTCTTCTTAATCATCATGCTAAAGTTATTTTCTACTTTACATCTCATACGGCGCTATGTATTCGTCTCCTTAATTGTGATGATCCAATTAACCCCTACTTTACATACCATACCATGTCTTGCATTATTCTTCTTAATCCTGATGTTTCCATTAACCTCCATTGAATATCCTATACTTTGTGAATGAATGAATTCATTTGTGATCCATTAATGTTTTCTCATCTACAGTTGTCTTTGGATTACAACTAGATTTTCGTTTGCCTATAATATTTTTCTAAAAGACTTATTGCAAATAGTCTAAACAATAGTCCGAATATTTATTTAAAAACACGCAATTACTAAATTTTTTTCTCTTCATTATTTCACTTTAGAAATTCCATCGTTTGGATTCGATGGACAAAATTGTAAGCCCAGTGGTACCACAACCCGGTGCTTGGAAGCGTCCACCACGTTTAGCAGCGACTGGTGCACGTAAACCAACCAGACGTTCAACGTCGGTCAGTGAAACTGATTTATTAAGCCCAGCCGATGAAGCAGCCAAACTGTTACATCTGGAAGGTATGCACGTTTGTCATTTAATTTTTTTATTTCATTAATAAAATTTTTCATTTCAGCTGAAGCATTACGCGTCGAAACACCAGATTTTAATAAATTAGAAACTATTCCCGAGGTGGCTTTAGGAAGTCCACTGAGTACAATCTCTGGTGCCACTTCTGCAACAGCCGGCGAACATGAATCTATGACCGAAGCTGCTAGTACGGGTGACAGTTCCACTACGGCAACGCCTCTGGTTGAACAAAGCATCACGAGCATTGCAACTGCTCTCCCCCCAAACGCAACTGCTATTGCTCAGTTGGTAAAAATGCCAAAATTTAAACCGGAAGGTGCTAAATATCGTTATGGAAATTACGATCATTATGGTGCTTTTCGACAACTCAATGAATTTATGGATGTGCGCTTGCAAGTATTCCAGCGACATTTGGAATTATTCCAAAACAAAGACATACTCGATATTGGCTGTAATGTGGGTCATATGACTATAACTGTTGCGCGTAATTTGGCACCCAAATCAATACTTGGCATCGATATCGATAAGGACTTAGTGAATTTGGCGCGACGTCATCTTTCAATGTTCGTACGCATACCACCCGATACGAAAAAAAATACAACAACAGCTACTGTAACAAAACCACATGTGAATGTAGTAATTAAAAATGAAAATGATAACAAACCTACGATTGTTGCAACAGTTGATGCAGTTGATACACCAGATGTATCGGGAAAATCTAAAAGGGCACGACGTAAGAGACGTAAACGCTCCAAACAACAACAACAGGAACAACAACAACTTCAACAGCAGCAGCAACAGCAAGTCGTGCTGCTGCATCACCATCATCATCACCACCACCATCATCATCATCATAACACATTTGAACAAGAGAAATTACGTGTGGATGCAGCCGAATTCTTTCCAGTCTCATTCCCGCTCATATATGGCGGTATCCCATTGAAAAATCCACGTGAAAACTTGCCCACAGCTACTAGTACTCTTGCACACGCTGGCACAACAGGAGCTGCCAATAACTCACCAAACGACAGCGCCGTTCATGGCAATACGAAAAATACATTTCCAGCGAATGTCTTCTTTCGTCAAACGAACTATGTGCTGAAGGATGAAGCGCTTCTCGCCAATGACACACAGCAATATGATCTCATTTTGTGTCTGTCGGTGACGAAGTGGATACACTTAAATTTTGGTGATGCCGGTCTGAAGTTGGCGTTCAAACGTATGTTCAACCAGTTGCGACCTGGTGGCAAATTAATACTCGAAGCGCAAAATTGGGCCAGTTACAAGAAGAAGAAGAATTTGACTGTAAGTATATCGTATATCGCGTCTTCTTGTGGAATATTATTAAATTTATTAATTTATATATTATTTTTATGTATAATTAAAATTTTTTATGTTTTTATTAAGATATTTATATGTTGAATATTAAATATTATTTGTTTTATTTTTTCAGGAGGAAATATATAATAATTATCGCAACATTGAGTTCTTTCCAAATAAGTTTCATGAATACTTACTCAGCTCTGAAGTGGGTTTTAGTCATAGTTATACATTAGGTGTGCCAAGACATTTAAATAAAGGCTTCTGTCGTCCTATACAGGTAAGAGAATTGTTTTTTGTTTTCAATAAAACAATAACAAAATACTCATATTTATTTATTTATTACTTACATTTCTTATAGCTTTACGCCAAGGGTGACTACACGCCAAATCATGTACGCTGGAGTGATGCTTATAATCCGCAAACACCTTATGAAGCATATCGTGGTATATATGCTACAATGACTCCACGCCCCACTGGCATGGCTTATCCGATGTCTTCGACACGTAGTCAAACATATGATACACCGCATTATAGTGGCGGTACTTCGGGTCCGTATAGTAGTCATCAAACTCCAATGTATCAGCCCACCTCACAATATTATAATCCATTGGAAACTGATTCTTATTTGCCATCCTACGATATGGAATATCTAAATCATATGTATGTGTTCGCTTCGCCACTTTACCAAACTGTTTGGTCGCCGCCAGCAAGTCTACGCAACAGTTCTTCGCATACGCCTGTATTCGGTAGCGTACGTGATGCTGAAATCGATAGTGACGGTGGTGGCGGAAGTAGCGGAAATTATCACAGACACGTCTATCCACCCAACGATGATACTTCATCACCAAATGCTAATGCAGGTGGTGCATTTAATTCAATACGTGAGGCTGACACAGATGATTCCAATCAACAGGGCAGAGTACGGCACGTTTATGCAACAAATTGCGGTGAAAGCTCCTCTTCACCGCAAGTTAATCATCACGACTCCGAAACCATTGATGGGTTAATGCTCGATGAGGAACCTGTTAATAGTTGCGATATTAATGAAGCTTAAATTAAACTTAAATTAATCGAATAAGCAACAAGCATATACGTAATAAGGAATATTATTGCTTCTTAAGAAAATAATTATTATGAAATTTATAAAACGCTTAACAATTTTTCAAAAATATTTTATTACGTTTTTTTTTTGTTTTAAATCGAGATTTGTAACGCTAAGCAAAGTTTAAAATTGTCTTATGATATTAAATAAATATGTCACTTTATTTATTGTTTATAACATATACAAATACACACATATACATGTTTACATAGATATATATATGTATATATACATATATGAACTATACATATGCAAATTAATAATATTTTTGTAATTTATTAATATTTTTTTAAGCTTAACATAATTAAACACTAGAAATCATAAATTTTAAATACTTTAATTAATTTTAAATTAACAAAAGAAATTAAAAAAAACAAAAATAATACTTCTTATAAGCTTGATAGATGTGTAGTACATTTTTGCAGTAGTTGATTTCATTCATAATATTTATATATAATAACACAATGCAAATTACAACTTTATTAAGCATAATATTAAATTATATATATAATATAAAAAACAGTGAGAAATCTATTTTTAATAACATTTTTAGCCGGGTGTAAACTTATACATATACAATATAACGACGACGTATATTGTTAGCATGTAATTAATATTTTTTATTATATTTTATTATATTGTATTTATGTATATTTATTATGTACAGATTTTTTTAAGCTGTTAAATTTTTGAAACTTACAAACCCATTAAATGTGTGACAGTGTGAAAAAGAAAACCTTTTTTAGTTTTAAGTTTAAAATGAATTAATACTAATGTGAAAAGAAATTTAAGAAATATGAAAATAAAATAAAATTAATATAGTGAAATAATTGTTGTTATTGTAACCCGTGGAGATCTGCTTGTAAAATCTCTTTGGAGAGTAGCGAACTGCACTTGGACGTCGAGATTGAGGAATGGCCACAACCTCCTTATTGCATTCTCCTTACATTCTGCTCTCCTTATAGCCCACCACAATGTCTTCTTCATTTTAATTAGCTGATATAACCACGTTTCTTTAATTTTGAATACCTAAAGTCAGCAGAATGGTTAAGAGGATGAGCTGGATTTAGTCACAATGAAATTTTGAAAAAGTGAAGGAAGTTATTATCTGGTTGTGTAAATCAAAAGCAAGATTTCGTAATCATCCAGGGAAGTGATTAAATTACAGCTTGCATTGAGCATCATACTTTTTCTATTCGATTTTTTCATCCATACCAACACGACTGAATATGAATTCAGTTTTCTAAATATTAAGCCTAATATTAATATCTCAATTTCCTATTCTTAATGGATTATAATCATGGTTAGTAGTTTGTCTTTTTTTTTATTTATTCTTACAAAATTGGTTTAAATCGGTCCTACATACAGAGACACTGAGAAGTATGAAAAAGCATGCCTTCCTAGCAGTTCTGGTGCTTCTATACATGCGGTTCCATTGGTATCGATCACTGAAGTAGCGAGAAGTGGTGAAGGTCGATGTCTGTCGTGCCCTGAACACCACTAGAAGAAAGACCCTTAAATGGTTATTACTATTACTATTATTAAACTTCATAGATTATACGTACATGAAGAAATGTTTTGAGTGAAAAGTCAAAAGTTGTGATACCCTGCCGCTATTTATACACACGATGTCACCGCTATTAGCTTATCGAAATTCCCTGCATAAAGTCAAAATGGGCATTTACACTTTTTTCTGCTTGGCAATAATTTAAACATGTGTAATTTCTAGATCAATAAAACCTTAATCAACAAGTTCTTGAAAATTTAATAACAGTGTCCGAGTCAATATATTTAGACTAATTGCAAATCTTTAAGGACACTGTCTACAGGAACCCAAGCAAAGAAACTGCACATTCCTTCAACTCTTATTGTAGAAGTGGTGGAAAAGAGTTTTTTCTGTGATTTTCTAGCTTCGACTAATAGATGGAGCAGGTCCTTAGGACCTTATTTTTTTGACAGTCGGATTGATAATCGGTAAGTACAAAATATCTGTTAAATTAAATACACCAACAATGTTGGTTTAGTCTTAACTGTATTGATTTTTTTGTGGAATACGATATGTTCGTTGGTTATAGTTTTCTAAGCAATATTTCTGAGTCAATGTAGCATTATGTCATTAACCTTGGTATACAGAATATGATTATTAGTAGTATAGGAGTAGTTGGTTGGTTCGTTATAGTGACTGATCATTGTAACTTACCAGAAAAGTATCTAAGAATCAGATAATTTGTTTTAATCTCTTGCATTTAGCAGTCTCATATTACAATAATCTTTTCAGGACATTGTATGTCCTGTACAATTTAGTGAAGACACACGAGTTATGATATATTATTATAGTAAATAATAATGAAGTAAATAATAAGTACAAATATACATTAATTAATTTTTATATAAGAGAGGTCGGAAAAGATCCAATGAAGGTAATTAAAAAGATAGGCGCGACCCTATACCCCACGAATGGAAACGGACACGAAGAAGAAGAAGTAGAATTAAAGAGATAAATGAACAACTTTGTTAAATCCAAAGACTTCTAAATTTTGTACTTGAAAATCCTTACCTAAAACAATGCACTTATTGCCCGCGTATGAACCATTAAAGAAAATATATAATTGCTGTAGCAATCACAGTAATGATACTACGTCACAGTGATAACGACGTTGTCAGAATATATTATTCCACCTGTCCCTCTCCACTCCCGACCATTGGTTTTTATCTATAATTTTTATCTATTTTTAAATGAGTTTGTTTGAGAATGTTTTGCAGCAGGTTTCGCAATGTTTTGTGTGATTTTTTTTATTTATTTTTGTTTTTGCATTTTTAGTAATATTTTTTTTATATTTTGTTATGATTTCTATGGCACTTCATGCACATATGCGACTTATCACACTCAGTTCTATGTTGTACGTACGCTCGGGAAGTTAGTGTAATTATTTCGACTGAGTTCTGGTGTGCCTTTTTGGAATAATTAAAATTAATCATACGCCGTGTGGAGCATGTCACGTGGTCGTTGTAAGTTAAAATATTTGAATTTTTAATTTACATTTAAGTGAAATTTATGATATTATAAAGAACATTTTTTTATTTTCTTAACAGTAAGAGATTTGCTGTTATCAGCAAATCAAACGATAGAAATTTGTATAAATATTACTCAATCGAGTTAAAGATATGGGTTTAAATTTAGAATTTGGAAAATATGTTATTTTATGTATTATTTCCATAGAATTTATTTATATATTTCTAACTTAATGTGTTGTAATACCTTATATATCTTAGTCATGTTAAATTGTATAAATAATTATAATTCAAGTCAAATATAATCTAATAGAGTATCAGAAACACAAGCCTGACACTTGCAGTCCAACAAATTATATACAGACTATAAATTAATTAAAAAAAAATTAAACAATCCTATGATCACAGATGATGAGTACTTTGCAATACTCTAAAAACCGTTGTATGCTCAGTCAAATTTTAATAAATTAACTAAAAATTTTTGTTGTTGTCTTTTCATTTCTATTTGAACTCTTCTAAAAGCTTTTTTGCGTCAAGACAAGTCACATTTGACAAAAAAAAAATTAAAATTCAATACAACGATGTTTATTATTATATTAATTTTCATTCGGATGAACCTAGAGTCCATTTGATAGTGGGTTTATAAGGCGAAAATTTATATTTAAACACACATAAGCTTTTACTGGCACGTATTGTCTTAATTATTTAAACTGATCCTAATATGTGAATTCCACTTTCATATCACAGTTATCTTGGAAGATATGTAAAAATCTTATATAAACAAATGATAAAATGTTATGGTTTTAACACTTTAGTGTCGCAAACATTTTAGACATATCGCTGACTCATTTCAAAGGGTACTTTTTATTTTTATTTCTATAAAAAATCGTGTGCAATTACTGATAAGAGTATATTTATCAATGTGTTAACTCAAAACGCCGACATCAACACTCCCACTCTATATGTACTCATATATATAATATTATCTAACATTAATTAGCAATGTTAATGTAAAGGAAAATGAAATCTAAGCATAATAAAAATGTTTTCGTTGATAATTATTTAATTTGTATTTAAAAATTTTAATTGCGTGGGTCTTTAAAAATCTATAATAGTCCAGACTTTTACGCAATTATTAATAATATTTACATACACATTTTAAACTCAGTTTCCACTTAACAATAAAGGAGAGGGCTTATCTTTCTCGTAAATCTGTTTCGATTTTATTTTAATACTACATACCCACCATGTGAGATTTTAACCTACTAAAACTAGCTTTTAGGAAAAAAATGTAGAAGATTTCCACCACTGAAGCGGATGGCAGTGTGGGTAACTTTATTCCACTAATTAATGAGCAGCATTAAGATAATGAGGCTTAGTACCTAGAAGTCTAGGTTTAAGTAACGTAAAAAGCATTGAAATGGTATTGGGGGAAGGACGGTGGGTGGAAGATTTGAGCTTATGGCTCAAGTCCGGGGAGACGGGTTAGCTGTAGACTTTATGACCAGAATAGGTAGATATTATAAATAATGGTAATCCTATCATCATTCATGAGGATTGTGGTATTACTTTTGAGCACCTTTTAATGAACTCAATATATATTACTTTGCTGAGGATGTTTCTCACCTTTGTGCAGTTATTTCATTTGCCATATCATATCTTTGTACTCATCCGTACCCTAAAGTCCAGATCAATAATACATAACACTATTTAGTCAAATTCTCTCAAGTTTAAATTGTTAATTACATTGTTCCTAATACTAGATCTTTTTTAGATAGATAATTAAACTTAGAATTAAAAAAAAATTAGTTAATTTATAACTGATGTGATGCTTTAGCTTATAATATTCTTTTAAGCTAAGTTCAGTTTTTTGTGTTGGCAACAATTCTACAGCACTTTGTAGACTTTCCACTGAAAACTTACTCTGTTCTCTGGTATAGTAGCATGAGAATGAGTAGACATCTATTGATGAGAGTTAAGAAAGAGAAGGAAATAAAACAATGCATTAAGCAAATATATTATATTAAGCTTGATGACGACACTTGAAGACGTCTGGGTGCGATTGCACTTTAGTCACGATTAAAATTGAGACATATGACGAAACGTGATAAAAACTGTTTGTATAAAAATATAATATATAATTAGTTAATTTGTTTTTAAATTATATATATATGCAAATTATAGTACGAGTATTTTTTATATTTAACGCACGTGAAATGTGGGAAACCAAATGTTACTATAAACATTTTGTT